ATCATTGTTTTTCAGTCCCAGGACCTCCAAGTAATGTCCAGGCCATCCCAGTTTTCAAGCAAACAATCCGTGTACTCTGGGATCCCCCGTTGGAACCTAATGGCATCATAAGAGAGTATCGACTCTATTACAGAAAGAGTATCGCAGACTCTCTTCTTACTGACCCCACTGAACATGTGTTAAGTGGAAATATGACGTCAAAATATCTACCTCAGTTAGAGTCTGAAACCGAGTATAGTTTTTGGGTGAAAGCAAGCACTTCCATAGGAGTTGGAGGCAATTCTACGGTAGTCAGGCAAATGACACAAGAATCAAGTAAGTGCACATTTCCTCAGAGCCTTTGACACCCTTGTTCAGTGGAAAACATGGTCTGATCAAACAAAACTGTTTCCCTAACATTTGATTGATTGAAAAACGAAAAGCATGAAAAAAAGACTGTACTCAATAAACTTTCGTTTCCGATTGATCAGAATACAAAGATATTCTTTTGATGAGAAAAATTCCTTTTTTCAGTTCCAGCCAACATCTTTTACGACAATTTACCTGTGACCCTTGCGACGAGATCAACATCCGCTATCTTGGAATGCGAAGCTTACGGTTACCCTAAGCCCTCGGTGATGTGGTACAGCAGTGGTCGTGAGCTTACAGACACTACGAAATACCGTCTGCTGACAAACGGCTCTTTAGAGATCATAAGCGTTAGAGAAGCTGACGCTGGGGATTATGAGTGCACGGCAAGTAACAAACTGGGAATAAAAACAGTCATTAGGAAGCTCAAAGTGAAAAGTAAGCTTATGACACTTAATTTTGTTTCCAGGCTCTTTCTTTTCTCTTTTCCTTGGAGAGAGGAGAACCCCTTGGGACAAAAGTTCAAGTAAGCGATGCTGGGTAAGCTCAGAAAGAACAGGGATTAAGCAAAAGCTAAAGTCGACAGTAACATTTTTTTCTTCAATTGTGAAATGAACATGAGTTGGTAATGTCTTCAAAAAAGATTCCTCTCCCACATCTTTCAGTGGGTGATTCGTATTTGTAGTCTCTCGCCATGATTCCCTACTTTTTTTACACAGTTTCACTTAGTTGCTCTGAGGAATGTTTGTCTCTTGTTTTTATCTTGGATCTGTCATTTAATTTTAAAAGTATGACAATCATCCGTCAGTTTCTTTCTTTAGTATTATCTAAGTGCTTTTATGACTGATGTAAATGGCGGGAATGAGTTTCTTAACAGAATGCTTTTTATTCTTCTCGCTAGCAACGCCATTACCACCGAAAGTGATAGAATTCAAAATTCTCATAAATAGTACCGCTCTGAACATCACCTGGCGCGGATGGAATGATGGGAACAGCCTCGTAACTATGTTTATCCTTGAATATAAAGTTAAGAGCGAAAAGTGGGAAGTTCAGTACATCAGTAACATTAACTACTACCTGTTGTACAATGTGGATTTCAACAAAGTTTACTACTTTAGGATCTCTGCGCTAAACGCAGTAGGACAAGGGACACCAAGTGCAGTGCGTAAGGTTGTATTTAGGGGTAAGTTATATAAAATTGGGTTGGAAGATTGGAATGATTTGTAACGGAGCAATAACCTTGCACACGTTTATCTGGCAGCGCTCTGTGATTGGTTTGTTAATTAATCATACCATCCTCTTAACCAACCGATCGCAGCTTTGTAACTAGCGTTTTGCCACGTTTGAAGTCAGTTACATGTATTTCGTCATTGTCTCATGTGTTCCTCATAATGTTAAGTTCTGATTAACTGGCTTGATTTCCTTGGTTTTGACTTTACAATTGTCAATCGTAAAGTGCTCCAAAAAGTCAGAGGAATTGATTCAATCAAGTCGAAACCTAAGACTTGCAAATGGACTTACGCTCGAAAATCCTAAGGGTAAGATCCCTGAGGTGAAAGAGTGACCTTAGCTCGGGTAATGTTAGCCAGTTTTAGCTGATTGTAATGGCTATTTGGATTTTCATTTCAATAGATGGAAGCACCCTCATTGTCACCCTGGAGGAAGCGGGAGACATCGAAGTACCGACCAATAAAAGAACTCAGTTTTATCGGAATCCAGCGTTCTTTGGAGTGTTGATCGGTGTGGGAGCTCTCATAGTCGTCGTTATCGTGTGTCTATTGCTGGTCGCCTTCAGAGGAGGACGCATTGATCTCGACAAATTTCACGGTAATTGCGCGTGCTCACTAACAGACCGATTCTCAAGAGCCCAAAGGCTTTTCCATGTTTACGTTTTCCCTGCCAATCATAGGTCGTGTAAAGTTTTGAATTACATATGAGCCACTGGCACCCAATCCTCTGGATAAAATAACGAGGGCTCTGGAACGAGATTGTCTCGCACATCTGTAAGTCTAGATCTTCTTACATCAATCTTGTTCCTATACCCTCCTTACGAGGGCTCTGGGATCGATGTTACTCATACGTTAACTGTCTAAACTGAGTGAAAGATTACCGTGACCTTTCAACACAAAGGGCTCAATTTAGGCCTGCGCAAAACCTTATTGTTTTAAAATGTTGAAAAAATAGTATCAGTTTCATGGTCTTGCATCTCTTTTCATTGGTTTCCTATCAATTCACTCACTAGCTTATATTTCATTTTAATCTCCTAGATTGGAGGAAATACTGGAAAGGGAAAATATTTCGCGAGCAACTTCCGGTCGACCAAGAGGATTACGATCAAAGGCAAGTAGAATCCTGTAAACCCAACTCTTGTTACTGTTCATTACATATTTCTTTGAAGGTGATAATTTTACCCACAGATTGTCACGAAAATAGCGAGCGCCACATGGCAGAAAACAAGTGTTAGTTTCTGCGATTGATTTAGAATACTCTGTGTAATTCTTTTCCAGGCGAAGCAATCCTGACCAGTCAGAAGGTAGTCCTGCAAGTAATGGTAACATGGCAGATTCTTCTTCTTCCTTAGACCCAATGCGGTCCACACACGGCTCTGAGATCAGTCTCCCAACCAACACGCTCCGCAATCATTTTGCTCAGGAGACCATAATGGAGGAGGACTACCCACCCCCTCCTCCTCCCTATCACTCAGGGACACCAGGACAGGCCCCACCAAATGAAGGCAGCTTTAGTGACACTTCTTCAGAAGGAAACTTTAATAATCCAGTTTACCACCGACCCATTCTCCATGACACCGATTCAGCTGCTCGCGCGCGACGTTTTGCCGATGCAAGCGATCATGGCATGTATCCCACTTTCTTCACCACGCAGAGATCGCTGAACGGAACGCCAGGAATCGGGGTCTTAGGATTCCGCGGGCATGCCGACGGAGGGTCTGAACTAGATACCACCAGCATATCACGGACAGTGGAATCTAATATTGACCTGCGACATTCAGCAGGGGCGAGTAGACTGAGCAAAAGCAAAAGCCGCGGACAAAGCCAGGAACTAGTTCATCCAGTCTACTCTCAAAGCCCGGCATCCGGGGCTCCAAGATCACGTGACTCGGGCCTAGGCCCATCACGGAATGAACTTCGCCGAACGAGCCTTAATTCTAAACGTAGTTCAAGCCAAGTGACACCTGTATTGCGGCCGATGCCAACGCCTCAGCGGCGGGAGTCTGGGTCATCAAAGGAGCTCAGTCCTTACCACAGGGGTTACGACAGAACCTTGGGATCTCGTGATCCTCGTGCTTACGATTCGGCTTCTTCAGAGTACAGCTCGTCACGTGACGAACTTATATCCGCACTAGAATTTGGAAAAAGACATAATCTTGACCAGTATTATGGGATACCAACTTTGGAAACTACGTCTGTATCTTCAACTACAACGAACAGTAGCGATCAGGACGGAATTTGCAAGTTTACAGGCAGTCCCAGACCTTTAGGGGACGGCTGTTATGCACCCACTCCAGTTCACGCTCCTCCGTTTCACTCAAGATCAAAATCTCGCGGAAATGAGAACTACATTTATGTCCTCGATCCACGACGGCGCGGCGCTGAACGAGGTGCTGCTGCTCAGCCTAATGGTTCGATGGTTTGACGAAGGTTTGATGTCGGTAAGGAAGCCGTCGTCAGTTTTTGATTGTTTTTGGTTTCAAAATGGCGCCTATAAGTTGAATGAATTGTGGCGTCCAGATTTAAAGATACCCCAGATTTTGGATCAACAATTTCATACAAAGAAAAAAATTAACTTTCTCTTAAGCTTGGCTAATAAAAAATATGAAAATTGCCGACATTTAGTCACGTAGTGTAACATAGTAGGGCCCTCGAGTGGGGCTGACAGCGAAAAAATTAAGAATAAAAAATAGGTTATCAAGGAATGTTACTTTCAAAGAACGTATCGGAAATCACAACTGGAATCGAACTGAAAAGTTTTGATCAGCGGTCTCCTGACTATTCTAAAATCGCTATTTTTCCCTCTCATTGAAATTCTCAGAACAAACTTAGCAAAATCGAACCGAAGATGAATTTAATAGAAAACAGAAATTAAAACATGGATTTCAAATTAAGGAAAATATTCAAAACAACAACAAAAGAATCAATATACAGAAATCTAATATAATTCACGTGATGAACATTCACAGTAGTATTGTAAATATGTAAGTTCACAGTAAAGATAGCTATGCAAAGTATGAAGGTCTAATAAAAGTGAGACGAGTTACAAAAGAAATAGATGAAGAAACTTCACCATTGGTTGACTGTTGGACCCCAACCCTTGAGTGCTTTTCAACCCAAGTGAGAATCAAATGAAATGATAGAAATGGAGACATTGTGATCGTCTCTTCTCTTGGCAATTTTTTGGGTCTGTTAATCAGCGAGGTTTATTTGTGTACCTACTGGTAAACGACTTCGTCGTGGAAAAAGTACCAAAAAAAAAAAAAGAAAGAAAGAAAGAAAGAAAGAAAAGAAAAAGGTAAGGAAGGTAAACTTTAGAACTTTGTTATAAGAAGGAACGTATAAAGAGTAAGAAAGAATAATGACGCAGCTGGAGCTTTATTACCAAAAAAATACTTTTTTATTTATTCATCATAAATATAATCATATTGTACAAAACGACTGGTTAGTTAAATATGAAAAGATTTTGATCATAAATAAAACCACCCTTAAGCAAACTTGTATCCAGACCCAAATACAACGATACTTACAAAAAGACAACGAACAAATCACACCCATCGCTACCCCCCATCCCTCAAAAAAAAATTAATAAATAAAAAGATGAAAAACATTTTTGAAACAAACGTCAGAAATAGAGACTAAATTTCCGTTTGGTTCAGTGGGCTAACAAGATATTTTGGGGTTCGGCAAAATCAAGATTGGAGTTAAACAATCTTGTAAATAACAGTGTAAATAAAAGCCAAATGCAACCGCCAATGATGAGCCAGGCGTTAGGTGAGAACTGAGTGACCATCCAAATAACTGACAAACCCGCAACAATTCCCCTGCAACATAAATATTTGATGGCCCGCCAACAAATACAACTTTGGAGAAAAGAAAAACTTAATCTGAAGCACTGGAATCATGATGATTGAACATCTTAAGAGCTGCATTTCTGTTGAGCTGAATTTTCGCCGACGGTAAAGAGGCAAAGTGCGCAATTTCTGTTAATATACATTCAATGCATAGATTATTCTGCTTGCGATGTTCAATACAAAACACACATTTTGTTCCTCCAACACACTCTGTTATTTCTTGGCTTTTGTTGCCGACGGAGAAGCATTTCGCTTAGACATTCGCGAGGCCGAAGCAGACTGTGGTTTACGCACTTTCTCTCCCCTCCCCCGTGAAGGCGTCTTCCTCTGAGAGCCCGACGGGGTGGTAGAGGGAGGAGGTACATCAGGGTCCGTGGTGGGGGTGGGGCTTTCTGCTCGCCGGTTGGAAGCTGTCTTCACCCCACCACCTGTCAGTCGGACACATTCCTCCCTGTGCCTTGCATTCCACGCCTTCAGTTTACACGACTTACTGCAATAGAAGACCTCTTTACATCTTGTACAGGCCGACAAGCGAATTGCTATTGAACGTCCACACTCATAACAATATCGAAAGCGGTTTTTCATCACTTGCTTTCGTTGTTTCAAAGCTTGAGTCGCCAGTGCGGATATGCTCATGTGGTCAGCGGCCTTAGTCACTGCAATTCGCAGACCGCAGTTTTCGTCTCGACCTGGAGACTGGGGTTTAACGGGCGGCTCAGGAGCTCTGGACCCTAAAGAACATGGAGTGCTTTCCTTGCTACCATCAGGAGCTGGTGACAATTCTGACTTTCTGTCATCTTTCTGTTGCTAAAAACAAAGAGGAATGATATATTAATGATCACGATCTATCCAAGCAACTATACAATCACCCAACCATCTTTCTCTCGCTAGAATGAAAGAAAGATGAAGATCGCGGTCAAACCAAGAAAAAATACAATTGCCTTAAAATTGGAGGTAAAAATGGCTCTTCAACGACCCTACCTCATTATCCATTCCAGGACTTTCGCCATCGATTCCAGTGATAGCCTCGACTTCACGATCTGCTTGAGCCTCGATTTCGCGGACCTCCCCTTCGTCTTCACCAAAGATCTTGTTTTCAAGTCGGAAACTCACTCTGCTACATCTCAAGGTGTCTCTTTTCTCAGCAAGGGAGGTGTCATGCTCTTTCAGCTTGTTCAGTCTGTCAGATGACTTCAGGATACCCCAGGTGGACTGAGGACTTGTATCTACATTCTGTGTTCCTACGGCGAGAAAAAAAAATACAACACAAATTCGTGTTTATTAAGACGCATCCAAAAAGGATAATCAATCAGGTGAATCTGAAAAAATTAAATCTCTTATTCTGCTTATATCACGGTAACAGCATAAAATGAGGAAAAATCACAAGCAAAATATCATGGGCGAACCAAAGCTTCTCTAGGTCGACAAACGCAGTAGGAAACGACGTATTATTAGGGATTACATGCAAGGGTCGGGGAGGAGGTCTACACTGTCCCACATTTAACCCGGTTATGGTAGCCTTAAATGTTTCCCGTGATTTAGACACCAAAAGACGTTAGGTACCATGAAGTTTTCAATAGAATATATCCACAACTCACCTTCTGCTTGTCTTTCCGCTTCCTTCAGCTGTTTCTCTATCAATTCCTTTTCTTTCTTCAACACTTGAGTCCTTAGCAGATCTCCCAGATGATCCAACATTTCCCGTCGCGCATTGTAACACTCGCGTTCTGTTGCCGTGAGGGCATGGTATGGAGTATGAGCAATCTTGCGGTCCTAAAAATCAACAAAAAGGGAGGCAGTTAACGTGGCAGAAACCCCAAGAGGGGACAGGTATTTTCAGGGGCGTAGCCAGGGGGGGAGGGGGAGGGGGAGGGGCTGGGGTGCACGTGCGCTTTCCTCTTTGGAAGTTTATGTAAATGTGAGATTAGTATTACATCACAGTTTAACCCGTTGTAGCTGTAAGATGATATGGTTTGAAACGGAACTACACAGACAGTGTAGAAAAATGGTCTTTTTCTCTAAATTGTAAGGAAAAAGTTCTCAGCCCAGTTGTTCAAAGGATGGATAACTCTATTCGATGAACAAATCGCTATCCAGCAGATAACTGTTACCAAAACGTGCTGCGCTATCCATCGGATAGAGATTTATCCAGCAGATAGTGTTATCCACCCATCAAACAACCGGAGCCAACTGTTAAGCAAAAAAGCGGACTTCAGAATTGCGACCAAAATTTTGTAGGATGCCCCAGGCGATCCATATTACAGCTCTGTAGGATTGTAACTGCTTACCTGATAAAACACACTATAGGCATAATCAACAACGGTTCCTGGTGGATATTTCTGGTTCACGCTTATCGGGGACAAAATGTTTGCACCAGCTCTCATTATCTTGTTTATCTGATCATTAAAAAAAAACAACAACAGATTATCAAATTATATCCAATTTGAAAGATTACTTGGAGCGTTTCTATTGTTCTTAAGTACACGATGCTTGTCAGGTAAATTTACATTAACTTTCAACTAATATTGACATCAAAATTAGCTTACTAGCTTTATTCTTCCAGCTGGAGTCCTTCTCCTTTCTGACATAAATGAAGTAGCTGCACATAGTGCTGAACCTACTCCTTTGGAAAGCCGCAGACTGGGGTTGGCTCCATGTTCCAGAAGTGTGTCTACAGCCTGTCAAAGGAACGAGGAGAATTTACAAACAGTTTCAAAATTTTCCTTTTGAAAGTGAGAGGTTTTAAAGCTGAAATATCATTCACCCTGCACTAGATTACCTCAGCATTTTGCTAGTTGGGCAGATACATCAGTACTACTTATTTTTCACATGGGTAGAAAGAAGCATTATGAGAGTTAAAGTGTGTTGCCCAAGCACAAACACAATGACCCATGGAAGTCTTACATGTGTACCCCTTGATATAAAGAGATTCCTGAGTGATTATGGTTTACAAGGATATCATATCTTACCAAGTCATTACCACTACAGATTCCCAAGGAAAGGGCAGAATGTCCTTCACACAGGAGATCCGGATTGGCTCCATACTCTAACAAGAGCCTTACAACAGCACATGATACCTGAAAGCAACCATGAAAATCAAACCTACCCAAAAAGTTACTAAAAGTAATGTAACTACTGATAGCAAGTATGCTGTATGACACAGTTTTCCTTGCAATACAAAAAATGTTTGTCACCTCAGAACTCATTGCCTAACTTTTGAAATGCCTTCGTGGTGGAGGTCTTCCTTTCCTAGATGTTTCACTGATTGCTTATCACTTACTCAGACCACAACCTAAGGGAGGGGATAAATACATCCCAACTCATGTTGCATCTACTTGTAATGCAGAGCTGTGAGACAAATTTTGAATTGTTTCTTCAGACTGTTGAATATTTAAATTAATTGAAATGGAATATAGATAACAAAGAAAATGCTTTTTGATGAACATAAGGGTATAAAAAAAATGTTGAGTCCCACAATGAATCCAACCTCAGTCACCTTTAGATTCTGTGCTCCTAATTATTATGCTAGAAAAATTAAGACAACCTCAAAGAAAAACACCACAGTGACAAGAATGAATCAAAAGAGAAAAAAAGAATGGAGAAGATGAATATGGACTCAGTGCTTGTCTAATTTCAGGTGTGACTAAATGTAATACCTGGTCATTATCTTCTCTTGAACATGCTATATGTGCTGGTGTTCTTCCATTTTCTTCATAACCAAATGCACAGTCTCTTATGTTTGGGTCAGCACCTGCCCTCAGCAACAACTCCGTGATCTCCACTCCTGTTTGGTCAGGCAGAGCTACAGCAATATGCAAAGGAGCAATTCCCGATTGCTGGTTACAGTAGACAACAACAAAGTCAAACAATAAATTAAGTAACAAATACCACCCCTTTAGCAATTCCACTGTAGCTTTGATATATCATAACTTTACACAACGTCAATTCATAGAAACTGTTCAAAATTCTATTCTTGTAACATGCCAATCTTAATAGATGAAAATATGTTGTTGTACAACTAAAAACAAATGCCACTTACAAAGTAATAACAAAAAATGCTGATTCTCACCTCTTTTGATAATTTTGCAGAGGTGTCAGCTCCTTTCTGGAGTAAAATCTCAACAGCTGCAGTGTCTGCAGCTTTCACAGCAAAAAAGAGAACTGGCATTGGAAGAGATGATGCATTTGGATTTGCACCTCTCCAAAGCAACAAACGAACTGTTGCTTCAAGGTGAGGACGTCTGCAAGAGATGATAGCATCTGTTGATCACAAAACCTTTGTACAGATGGCAATAGAATATGTTTGTATACATATCCAGTTTTGTGGCTTTCTGATCATCACACTGGATTCTGGATGATAAGGTGCAGAGTTTGGGCCTTTACTAAGGATACCAAGTGTAACCATCTTGGAAAAAACAGTTTACAGGGTTTAGCCCTTCTCTCAGTATGGGAGCTGCATAAAAAATTCCTTCACTCCTGCTCTCTTCAAGTTACTTAAACTGGGATGTGACACCATGGTTTTGACCATTTCAGTTAGCTACAGTGTGATACAATTATTAAGAAGGAAATTAAAGTATTTAGTTTACCTTTGCATAGCCAATAAAATTTGTTTGTTCTGCTCCATGCTTTTTTCACTGTGCAAATCATCCCCTGAGTCTGATGGCTGCCTTGTACTAGTCATAGCACTCATGATACTAAACAATGATGGATCCAGCACACTCAATTTACCAGTTTTGGGATCAGTCTCCTCATGAGTCAATGAAATGTCACTGACTGATGTCAAAATTCCAGAGTTAAGCATGTTATTCCCACCAGGCTGGATGATCAGTTTTCCCTCATTGTCAGAACTTTTCTTAAAACCAGATCTATTAAAATCTAATTTACTTTGTAGGCTATTGTTCAAGTTGTTTTCAAGCTCTCCACTATCACTATCTGTATCTGCAACTATTCTGTCATTGAATTCAATAACTTTGTATGGCATCTTTGAATTGTTTGTTTCATCTTGATTACAGTTTTCATTTTGAATATTTTCAACACATTCATCTTCAGAGTTTTCCTCAGCATCATCAGAATCGTTCAGGTTTTTTTCAAGTCTGCTATCCTCAAGCACAACATTCTGCCGATAATTCCGATGAATATAAATTCCTTTCTGTTTATCTTCCTGTATGCAATTAAACAAATTTTCGTCAGGAATGGTCTCAGCAATGTTATTCTTCCAGGTGTGTTTTGTATAGAAGAGAACATGACAGGCAGCAAGAACTGATAACCCCTCATCATTCAACTTATTGACATTGGCACCATTGTCCAGTAGGCAATTGATAACATCTCTGTGACAATTGACCTTGAAAAAAACAAAGGCTCTCATTACAGTTGTGGGTGGTAATTGAAAACAAAGCAATGAAGACACATTGGTCTCCACACAATTATATGTACAAGTTATATGGACCAGGAAAGTGACAGAAGTAAAGCCAACTCCATGGCAACACTGAAGGGGGGCTCAACTTGACTCCTACATTTCCTTTTTTCCTTTTTTTTTTTTGTTTTTTTGTTATACATCAAAAGAACTTGCATTACATTAGAATGTTAAGGAAAGAAAAAATTACATCAATGAGAAAATAAAATGGGTAGTGACAACACAAAATATGCACTGAAATTAGTAAAAAAAAATAAACTAAAAAGATGAAAAAAATAATGATAAAAAAATTTTACATTTTTTTGTAAGTATGACTCTAGCTATTGCATCAATGTACAAATCCCAACCCACCACCCCCAAATAAGAGGCAGCCATGCAACAAAACCTGTACAGAAATGTAAAAACAACTTCATATGAAATACTCACTGCGGCAGCAAGTAAAGCAGTATAGCCAGTCTTATCAGCAACATCCACATGAACTTTTCCACTTTCAATCAAACTGCGAACCTTGAAGCAATCTCCAGCTGCTGATGATTTTAAAAGTTCCTCTGATGCACGTTCAACAGGGCCTTTAGAACCTTTGTTACCACGAACACCTTCCAAAATATCCAGGTATGAGAAAGAACTTGGAATTTGAGACAACACTTTACTTAATTCCATGTCACTGCTACCTTCAAAGTCTTGCAATGAAGGGGTATTGTTTCTAACATTCTCCCTTGCAGTATTGGCTCGTATTACTCTGTTAGACAAATTTTGACCAGCATTCACATTGTAGTTAGAGTAGTGCTGGAAGAGGAAGGCACTGTCCATTACAGAGCACAGTTTGATTAACCGTTCCCCACACCAGAGTCCAACATCTTGTTCATCATTAGAGTATGTCAATATTCCTGGACCATCCCTCTCATCTCTGCGATATATTCCCTACAATTAAAAAAAACAACAACAACACCTTTCACTTGAAGTCATTTCAAGGACTCTGACTAATTGAGTTAGTTGAACATAATCACTTGTAGAGTGATTTTTTTCACTTCAAATTATACAAACCTCAAATTTATTTCCACTTGGAAAGAAAAATGTACCAAAACCTTCTTTCTTGTCATTTTCAAAGTGACCTTCAAATTTTGTACCATCAGGCCAGGTATAAACTCCTTTTCCATGCCGTCTGTCTCTATAGAACTCTCCTTGATAGCTCTATATGAAAAAATTGCACTGTCGATCAGAACCTCGCAAATAGCAGATGCAGGTAAAGATTCCATTCTCACTCAAGATGTGCATACACCAGTATTTAAACAATTGCAGTCTATTAAGTTTCTTTGATTTCTTTTTTTCACCATCCCTTGCTTAATTGTGAAGCTGCTACCACTATCTTAGAACCATTTGAACTGAGAAATCTGTATAAGTCAACACGAAAGCGCAGCATAAACAATTGGAGCTCTGTCCATAAGTGAAAACATGGAACTTGCATTCACAACCGCCTGACACTCTGTTCACATTAATTGCTCTCCTATGTGCACTCTCCTTTCAGATCTATTTTATCTAACTTAAGCCTATCCTTTCAGAATGCAATTAGAATAATTTTCAAAAACATAGAGCCACATTATAGTTCGCAGAAAGAAGCCACCTGACAGAGCCGCCGGTATGTTTTTATTATAAACAGAGTCCCCTGGGGAATTCACACATCAGTTTCGTAGTGTTTACGCATCAAATTGGCACTATTGAGTCGATAATTTTCATACATAAATGAAAAATGAAAGGAAAATGAAAGTAATAAAAGATGTTCAGCTGAGATATCTTTGCCGGGATCAATGGTGGCGTTTTCGAGTATACACTCAAAAAGTTAATCGGTCAAATTAACGCCATTCACTTTAGCACCCAAACCAAACTAGAGGCAGCTTTGGTGTGGAAATTTACGAGTCAATATCCTTGAAAATCTGGCTTTTCTGTTAATTATAAACTGCAGCTTAGTTCACATTTTCCTTGACATCTTTGCTAAGCGAAAGTAAAACATCTCGAAAATTTAAGTAAACATCGAGTAGAACTGTCCTAGGATTGAACGAAAAGCAAACAAGGACCTGTTAGCGGCCAAATTAAATATTCTACAATACATTTTGTTCCAGAATTACAGTTTTTATTCTAAGCTGAGTAAACTAAGTTAAACCCGTAAGACGCCTACTGTCTCAAACATAATCCCCGGTCTTGTCATGACAATTACGGAAAACTGAACCAAAATCGCGAAAGCAAGTCCTTCACTTAAACAAATTGACTCTATTTCAACGCACAAGTCTCACACCCTATGTATACAGTACCTTCTGACTCCGAGAACACATTTAAAACGAAATTTTGGAGGTGTATAATATAATTTGAAACCATTAAAAAAATCGTTTACTAAAATCGAAGACGGTTAAAAAACCGCTTTCTCCGTTACGGCCATTATCTCATCTCTTACTACAAGTACCTCTTTATCAGCCCAAGTCAGCGTTCCAGAACCATGTCGAAGATCGCGTTCAAAAGCGCCTTCGTACGTTGAACCATCAGGCCAATATTGTTTCCCATAGCCATGTCTTGTGTTATCTACGTATTCTCCGTCATAGCAAGCTCCATTTGGCCACTTAAAGATCCCCTTACCGCTCTTCTTGCTTCCCTCGAGTTCGCCGTGATAAACAGCACCGCTCTTATATTCCCGTCGGTATTGGCTTGTGTTTAATCGCAACACACGATTCGTAGAGGAAAAGTTTGTCCCCCTTCGCATACCTCGTAACACACAAGCAGTATGCTCTTCGTATAAAAAACTGCGATGCTCGGCACCCTAACAGAGGATTCTAACGCCGATAGACGTAACAAATATTGACTGCTCATCTGCATTGAATGAAGGCGCTGAGAGCTAGCTGGACTGTCTTTGTTGTCAGTGTTGCTAGGTCACCAAATATGGATAAGTGCTGTTTGAAGCGAAACAAAAGAAGCCAGACGAGAAAAAAAAAAACATCCTCTTCAACTTTAATTGACTTATACCCTTGACTTTATTTCACGATTCATTTTTTTTTCAAAAGTTGCATATTTTTGAAAGTTAAAGGAAATAATTTATGCAATAAAAATGGACTTACTTTATTTTTAAATAACTTGAAATTGAGGGAACTTTGGATTTGAAGAGAAAGCATGACTCATTGAATGTAAACAGGTACTCAAACCTTTATGAACATGCGTACTATCAAAAAATGTTTGAAAGTAATTAGAATCTAAAATTACTCAGGGAAAGACTAATGTCAAATTTCCCCTTCAATGTAACAACACTCTTATGCAGGAGCTCCATGAAAAATAAAAATTATCACACAGGGAATTTAACTTCAAATTGTGAAACCTTCTTCATTAGAAATATAAAACTGAAACTAACTCATTGATGGTAGAAGGGTTTTACTGTATGGCAGAGTCTATTTCTTTTTTATTTCACACTCCTATGAGCATTGCATATTTATTGTGGTTAATATCTTTTTATCATTCATCATTTTATGTTAACAAAGACTTCTTGTTATCTGTAATTTGATTTAATGCTTATCTTGTCCCTCCCACATGAGTAAAAAAGTACTATAAGTGGGGATGAGGAAGTGGGAGGGGGGGAGAGAGGGAGAGAGGAGAGAGATTTTATTGTAACATTCCATGTGGTAAAAACTTGAAATCCCAAAGGAGATCGCAACCGCAAAAAAAGAGCTTCCAAAATTTTATCACACGTGGGCTTTTTTACTTTAATTTTTCATGCTGCTGTTGTTTTAGGTTAGACTTATACTTAATTTCATAAACATTTGTTTAAGCTATATCAAAAGTAAATATCCAAAGAAATGTAGCATTTTTGAGACCTGTATGTTTACTTGTGATTGTCTTTTAATTGAAAAGAACTTTATAAACACGCCAACCGTAAATTAAATTAATGTTAATAGTATTGTAATACATGTATCGTAATGTAGTGTATGCATAATTAGTGTAAGTATAAGTATCAGTAGTGTAAGTAGCAAGTACAATGTAAGTGTAATTAATACTGTAAGTAGTGTAAGTGATCGTCTTGTAAATAAAATTGTTTAAAAAAAAAAAGTGGTAATTCCAATTGAACTTAGAAAATGTCTAGCTAAAAGTCTATCTAAAAAAAGGAAATCACAAAATATTACATATGTATCCTTTTAAAGAAATTTATTTATTCCCCAACAAGGCAGTTGGGATGAAAATTTATAACTATTTTTAGGAAGTCAATGAAAATGAAAACAAGTTATAATCAATCCAGGTGCAAATGCATATTCCCAGAAGCCTGTCAATAAATAAGAGTCCCAAACCCCTTTGTTTTTATGCTTTGACCTGGGAATGGTTTGGCTGAAATTGTCCAATCAATTCAAGTCAATTATCCTGACAACATCCAACCAGGTAATACTAATCGACAAAACCATGGCAAACTGTAAATACCAAAAAATATATATATTCCTTTGTCCAAGAGGTTTGATGCTTAAGTTATGTAATATATATGTGACGGGTTTAATAAGGAGAAAAATCATGGACAAAAGCATGGAGCCAATACGAGCAACATCATTACATAAGTATCCAAATTAACTGGTTGAAAAAAATGTTCCAAACTCAGAAAGGTCCTCACACTTTCTCCTTTGCAATTTGCCAGAGTATTACACCTCCTGAGAGCTCTACACTCTATTCAAGGAGGAGAGTTTTAACAGAGAATAGTAAAAAATTAAACAAATTCTATGATGATAAAACCAGGTCTGCAGAGTTCCATGTTGTAAGATGTCAGATATAGACAAGGTGGGTCAGGATACCCTACTGATCCTACTTTAAGAGGTCCCATCTATGATCAAAGTAATTAAAAAATTTGGTCATTCAGGTAGGTAATCAATGTCAATTACACTCAGAATATTTTCCACCATATTATTACCATTCTTAATCTCCTGATTAACCATCAAATTGGCAAAATGGCTCCTGAGGTGCTCCAGAGCTCTCTTGTTCAAATCATTATCATGTTTTTCCTTTTCAAACTCACTTCTCAACCTGTTGATTTCTTTCTGTAACTTTTTAATTTCAAGCAAATGCTGTTGTGTTATAAAATCCTCATAACTTTTAAAATTTTCCTCTTTTTCTTTTTCCATTTTATCAAGCTTAAATTGGAGATGTATCTTGTTGAGCTTCTCTTGATTCAATTCTGCTTGCGTTTGTTTGAGCAAATTCTCTGTTTCATCTCTTTCAATTTCTAATTGCTTACGTTCCTCCCGAGAAATTTTCAAGTTAGCGTGATATCTTCTCAAATCTTCTTTGAGTGCTCTGTAGTTAACTTTTAACCTCTCATATTTCTTTTTCAATACTCCTAAGTTGCATTTGACAGCTCTCTCTGATTCAGCGACGTCTTTAAACTTTCCCTTCCAAGAATGAATCTCCTCTTGTGCCGATTCTAACATGGCGGCGAGCTTGAGATTTTGCATTTTAGCTTTCTGTAGAAATCTACGCAAAGTTTGCAGCTCATTTTCATTCCAGATACACTCATCTTGGTCCTTACGCTTCGGTTTGCTCTGTCGTTTCTTCTGTTTTGAAACGATTTGTCGACTCTTTTCCAGTCGCTCCACAAGAACTTGGACGTCTTCATCAGTAGATGTTTTCGCCCTTTGCTCCTCGAAATAAACTCTCCTATAAACGTCATCGAGATATTCAAGCTTTTCTGAACTTTTCTCGCCTTCTTCTGGGCTTTTCAGCAATTCATCTACGCTTCCAAACTGGAATTTTGGAGGAAAAACTTCTGCCACCCAGTGATCCGCCATGTTGAATACGATAACTGTCAGGCGTTCTCAGTTGAGACGAATTAGGCTTGGACTCTAACGTTGAGAGTGGCGGGAAAATGCGCCGCGGGAAAGCTCAAGTTGTTTCTGCACCAAATTCATAGGAAATATTCTAAGCACACTTTACAGAACACCTTACAGGTAAGCCTCGTTTTATATTTGAATTACAACGTGAAAAATGATGATAGGTCGATTGCAATAGATTTCGCGTACTATTTAAAATTACTTCGAATTTTAATTCGAAGGAAGTGCATCAACATCTGGCCAGATGCTGTAGTTACACTGACATTAGTGACATAACCCTTGAAGTTTTCGGTTCAATAGTTTAATACCTATCCCTTTTGGCGGAATTGAGTACATGGCCTAGACAGGACCATACTGATATTCTGTAGTAACTCAAACTGTTTATTGGCTGATGTAATGGAAAAAATGAAATATTTACATAATCTGTTGACAATGTCAACTCGCCTCAACGGCATAATCGCGCACGAGCTCGCTGTAAAGCAAAGTTCAAAGTTGGCTTTCCCTAATCAGCAGTGTGCATGTAAAACTATGTCTTCCTGATAAATTTCCTAATTTCCCCTCTAAATTCTACTTGTTACATCACTTGAAACTACGAAAAAAAAATTGACTCTTAAAATCGATTCAGACGAACAAAGAAAAGACATATTCAGCACATTTCTACATGTTGTGAAAGTCAGACTCACCTTATATGAGCCTTTTTCTGTATATACAAATGCCCCGTGGACTTGAATTGTGCGCACAATATGTACGCTATTGTTTTGCAAGTGATAGCCTTATATTTACCCAAAAATTAATTTTCAAACCATTTTATATTTGTTTTAAGAAACTGTGCAACCTGACTAGAAGCTATTTTTTACAGCATTTTGCACCAAAAGCGTGTTTTACTGCCTAAGCTAGTTCTTATATGGTCATTCAAATGATTATCTAGTCTTTTTTGGCATTGTGTTGTGTCTTTATGTGCCATCTAAGGTGTGATGATGTAATGAAAGCCTTTTCGCAGAATTGGCATTGGAAGGGTTTCTCCCCGGTGTGTGTTCGCTCGTGTGCTTGGAGGGTGCCATACTGGGTGAATCCCTTAGGGCAGTACCTGCATCTGTAAGGCCTCTCCCCGGTATGTTTGTACATGTGAGTCTGTAGGTTGCGGTACTGAGTGAAGGACTTGGGACACACTTTACACTTGTATGGTTTGTCATCGCTATGAATGAGGAGATGGCGTTGTAGATGACCGTAGCGAATGAATGAGGCCGAACAGATGTCGCACTTGAATGGCTTCTCTCCTTTAAAAATAAATGCAAAAATATGAGATGGTTTTCAGTAAACAGACGTGTTCTAAGATGGAATATCTACGTAACATCAACATCGGGTTTCGAAGTAAGAAAAGACTCATAGATTTTGCCTCTCTTCTCGACTTACATCAATTGTCTTATATTACTAACTTCTTTTTCATGCTGCCCTTGAACTTTCCAGTATCCGCTTGTATTCCTTGGTGAGGATCCGACGTTCTTACATGATCTTTTCCTATGTTAGCTGTTAATGGACTTTTTCAAGTTGAGGATCTCTTAAAAATTACTTACCACTCTCCTTGCAGAATTGATTAGACGATGACTTCTCGCTATTTCAGAGAAGATATCTTATCGAGCAAACAGGTGGTGAGAATAGATGACCAGGAAATGTATAACAGAAGGACAAGAGAGTTGCTTATCAGACTTTGAAAGTCTAAGATACAATTTTGAGTCAGCCCTACCTTTGTGTATATACATGTGAGTATGCATCTCGTCCCTCCTTGTGAAAGCGCGCCCGCACTCCTCGCACTTGTAAGGTTTCTCCCCAGTATGTAGGCGCACGTGCATCTTCAGGGCACGTGACGTAGTAAATGCAAATGAGCAGACCTCACAGACATAAGGCCTCTCTCCTGTGTGCATGCGAATATGCGTTTTTAAGCCACTGAGTCGGGTGAAATCCTTGGCGCATAGACGGCACTTGTACTTTTCACCATCTTTAATGAAAAGATCTTTGACTTGTTCACGTGCCAGGAAAGTGAACATTGCTGAGAAGGGCAAAGTCCCTGGCGCTCTGGTAGTACCCCCCATATGCGAAAGCACGTGCTTTTGAAAGTTGCCAAACCACGTAAACTCGCGGTCACACTCCTCACATTTATATGGCTTATTGTTGTTATGAATGAGAAGATGGCGCTGGAGATCACTAGGGCGAGTGAAGGACATCACACAGTAGTTACACTGGAATGGCTTTTCCTTGTCCGACTTAGCTGCTTCTTCAGAGACAGGGGTTGAATCGCGCGAGGGAGATTGAAATGGTTGCCCCAGGAATGAAGCGATAGAGGTAGAATCTTCTGATGGTGGAAAAAGAATCGGAGTTCCCGGAAACCGGGACATTTGATTCTGAAATTCTTTTACAACGTTATGAACTGATTCCACGCTTGTTTCGTATTCGGACATATCCAGTGGTTCCCAACCGTCCCATCTTGGGGTATCCATGGCAGATGGCTGGATTGACTCATTTTCCTCAGGGCGGGGATTTTTTTCTTGTGTTTGATTAGTTTTAACTAACAGAAACAAGGAAAAGAACAAAATTGAACTTTAAGGTGATGCAAACAGAGACTCGCGTCGGGGGGCTGTAAGGGAGTTTCAATGTTATTTACTCATATCTATAAACACTGTCAAAACCTCCATGCATTTCAGACCCCACAAGTATTTTCTATTGTGCAGTTTGATTTGATTGAAATTCAAATTATTTTTTAAGCTTTGTTAACTTCAATGTGGTTTAATCCTCTTCACGTATGTTAAATCGTAAAATTTAGTTTACATTTGTCTTTGTCTTTCCTTACCTAAAACTTTCAAGAACAGATATCGAGGTAAAAGAACTAAGGAATGATAAAACGTTTTTTAGTTTGATGAAGAGCCCAGATAAAGTCTTCGAGGTCATTCTTTTGGTATTGTATTATGGGACACTAGGATGCTATGCTGTCGATATAGCATTGGCAACACGATTACTCCGAAGTTTGAAAATAATCATTTGTAAATGATATGAGACTGGAAGTCCCAATAATTCTGTCAAAAAATTTTGAAATTAGATATTTTTGTTATTTAAAATAACTGCAAAGTCTTACTTTTATAATTAAAATCAGACGATTATAACTAAATAAAGGACTCTTAACATTTTCTGATGAGCTGAAAGGGTTGCACTGCATGCTATTTAAAATGGAAAATAAAATTAAAGGAAACAACTTAAAGACAAAGATTTGAACGGCAGCCTAACAGATTGAATGTACTGGTATGTCAACTGGAAAGCGGTCGAATTGTTAAAAAATTAGGAAAAATCAGTTTTTCATTATCTTTAAAAACGGCCACCTTCGGGTTACAGAACAATCTCATAAGCCCGATTGCAACTGGCAAAAATTCATTTCTACCGCTTCGCCAGCGATGCTGTGACTTGTTTCTTATGAATTTTCCTCCCCGGCTCCACTTGTTGGAGCCCTCCACTGACATAAGCGTTCAAAAAGGTACCAGCGAAATGTCGGGCGTAACCTGACAAAACACTTAAGGCCACACAATAAAAAATTTCACGACACGGAACGTAATAGCGTCAAGTTATACCTGCCTTGCTTAAAAAAGAGGAAACATTTAAAATTAAGTAAATATTAGAGACAGTAAAACAGCGAAATAGCTCTCACGGGCATAATATTTACATGCGACAAGTTTCAAGAAATATTGTTCGCTACTGACCGAAACAAGCAAATTGATGAGGTCTTTGTTTGTCTTGTTTTTTAAGATATTATCCATCAGTTGCATGGAGGGAGTTATGGTTTGATCTTTAAGATAAAGCAACTGGCTTCGAAGTAAATTGATGTCATGTTCCTTGTTTCATTCCAGACCATATTCCTTGTTTCATTCCAAACCAGCAGTGAATCAGCGCTTGTTTTACCGAGTCGAGTATCAGCAGATGCCAAAAGCAAATGAAATTTTTGCTCACAACTAACGACCCTCCGGCAACGATTTCAGTCCTTTGAATATTCCGATGATAGAAACAGATACTAACTCCCGATCGATATAGCATGGTTTTTGTTTCACCCCATTCAAAAGCGTTCTTCAGCCGAATTTGTACATGTACGGTTGGGTTAAGTTTAGGATATCAAAATGGGCAACTAATATCTAAAACTTATAATCGAAAACGTTTCAAAAAACAGAAAATATTATCAAGGGTGATTTGAAATCTATTTATCTTCGTTCTTAAAAAGACCTAGAAATTAATAGCTTGTTAAATTTTTAGAGGTTATTGTATAATTCCTTTTGACCGGCTTACAACAGCGCTTTTATCTCATTACCTTCCAAAGACTTTTTTTTCTGTTGGATGTTTTTATTACCAAAACCTGTATATGAACAGAGCCAAGCGACCCAAATGTAGAGATTTCTTATTTCGAGCACGAAATGTGCGAAGATTGCGACGTTAGAACATAGGGAAAGAATAAGTTAAATGAATTCAATCAATGTACAAAAGCGTATTATATTAGTTATTGTTGAATAAATGAAGGAGTGTGTTATCCTTGGCTCTTTTTTGGCATAGAATAAGAGGAGTTTTTTTTCCGAATCAAAAATTTTTGTACTTAATAAAACCGTTGCCACCTAACGTCCGAGCATAACAAAAACAAATTCGAGCACAATGCACATCGCACGATTTCTTTCCTACTGAATGATACTTAAAATGAAATCAATTATATTTAAAGGAAGCCAATTGTATATTCAGGAAGAAATTAAATGGACTAATTCTTTGGAGCCCATCGCGTTGCTTTGACCACACCGTACTGAGTTTCATATTATTTTAGGTGACGCAGTTAAATGAAAAGTCGAAAAACAGCCGGAAAATGTGTAGGCGTTAACTTTGTATCATAAATCTGGCTATAAGCTAATGTAGAGAGCAGAACCCGCAACTTCCAGCCATTTTTTTCTAAGTAATGGTTCCAAACACACAATTCAAGTAGTTAACCACTTAACTGTGACTTGTATAAATTTCCTGAAGGCTTTATACAAGGTTCGTCAAAACTGTTTTACATGTCAATATCAGATTCAGGGCAGTTTTACAAGCTGACAGAGAGTTCATTTTTCACACAAAGCTTAATGTGAGGACCACACTTTGTACAAAGTACTCCGAAGAAGGGCATACTTCCAAATTGATGGCATTTAAAATAAAGGTTCAAATAATAAAATTTGTATCTCTAAGTGATTTCCGTGCGCCGCCTTTAAAAAGTGACTGTATGCATCGCTGCCCTACTACAATGCACGTCTTGTCCCCTAAGAATTTGATGCATTCTGTTTGTTTAGCGGTTCACCCATCTAAAAGTTTGGAATTGGGGTTGACAACTTGTGGAAATTTCCTGTGAGTTGTTCGTTGATTCTCTGCCATCTGAAAAGCACATGTAATAGCGGGTGGGAAAGCCCTTTCGCTGGGTTAATTTAACTTTGGCTTTATCTAGATAAGATTTAACCTGTGATATGCCAAACAGCTAAATAGAAAGAACATGAATATTTAAAAAGGGCCTTTTCTCGGATCGACCACTTTTAAACACCTGTGTTAAAGAGAGAAGCAAAAAGTGATTCTCTCAGCAGGAGACTAAACATTTAACGAAGGACGGCAGTTTAACTGTTCCAATCTTTGGTGTTCCATTCAATTCCAGTCCATGTATTTACGTTCTGACGAACTCTGCTACTCTCGTTTACATTTACCCCAAAATTACGTTTAATAAAAACATAATATAGATTTATAAACTTCTCTTTGTATACATAGTGGATTTTAATATCTATTTTGCGGTCAGTCCTCGTTACGGATATCTCCTAATCTGACGGATTTAAAATTGTCTATCATTAGCAATTTTATTGCGATTTTCACATTTTGAGTCCCTTTTTGCATCTCGCAGAGCTGTCGCATTGACTGTTAACCGTTCAAACTCGATACGATTCATTGATCGGGAATATTGTTCTATCAGACATTGAGTGCAAAACATTCAATTTCAATACAAGAGCACTCTTAAAGAAAAAAATTCTTTGAGAGTCTTGATTGTGGGATTTTAAACTATAGATGTTATCCGACTTGAAACAATTTTTTCTTTAAGTGAATTGATTATTTACTTTTGAAGATGTAGTGGTTTGTTGACTTTTCGTTGCAGGTTGAGTGAACTTTCTTCATGGTAAACTCGGCGGGGATTTTCAATGATTTCACCGATTTACTCCACTGTGATATGTAAAAACGTGTAGTTAATTTTCGCACCGGTGAATTTTTGGCTATTTCACTCCTAAGCCAAGGCACGAAACTTTTTTAAAGCTATTCTTTTAACAGAAGAAATTCGTTTACGGAAAATTAGCCGGATTGGGGCGGGCATATTTGACATCTACTTGTTACATCTACAAGCCACAATATTTTGTAAAAGTCGTGATTTCAGCTACTTTCAACAAGATTTAAAAAAGCATTTTACCTTCTGCTCCCCTGCTGAGATGGGACGTTATTCCAGTTGATTTCTTGATCAAGAATGACTTGGGCATCTTGAATGGTAACAAAACAATGTTCTTGACGCTAGAGTAAATATTGGCGTTAGGGAACCAAAGCGAGCATCAAAACCTAGATTGACACTGAAATGGTTTTCTCAAGGAGCAATGTAATGTGCAACGCACCTGCCAAAAATTGACCAATCACATGGCTTCACGTTTTGCAGCGCGCATGCGCGAGCTATGCGCTTCACAATGGAGGAAGCGCACTTGTAAAGAGCGATATTGTTTAACGCTGTAACCCGTTAATTATTCCACATTGTTCGTTAGTTTTCTGGCCTAATTGGAGAGTTGTTCGTGTTTATGGCAAGAAATAATTGTACGGTTTGTACGAGGAGAGTGAAAATTTCTTAACAGCTGTCGCTAGCTTTATTTGTACGGATATGTTACTCAAGGCTATAAAAAGCTCTTTGAAAGCAGGAAACTTACTTTCAAGGAAGTTTACCGTTTTATTTATTTTAGTCTTTGTAGCACTTCAGCACTTTCCTATTACTCAATCACAACAACGGCAAACCTTAAATGTAAACTTTTTTACTCCATTTAACAATAAAGTAAATTTTGCCATGATTCTTACCCACAAACAATCCATTATGAATGAGAGAGACATTTGTAGAGGATTACATTAAGGCTTCGCAATTAAGAGTTCTTCTAATGAATAATTCTGTTTGCTTCAAAGTGCTGCTAGCCGTAATTACCTGACTAAACGCTACCCACATCAGAGGAAAATAATAATTGCTTTTTATGTCCGCAGCCGAAAATACGCCCAGTAAATAACATTTTCACGCTTTCCTTTTCAAATTTCCTCCCTCAGGGAAAGGAAGCGGCCAGAAATCTCTTCAAAACACGACTGATTTTTGGAATATCCTTTGAACAACCGGTAGTCTAGTTATATCGACAATACAACGGCGGTGGTTAGATAGATTTTCGCTTTGATTGCTAAATTACCAAACAAACCGCAGATTAAAGTTCTTGAAAGCTGACTGTATCTGTTAAGTAAAACAAGAACTATGGCATAATTTAACAAGAACGATGTATACACCAAAAGGTTATCGAACTCCGAAAAAAACCTGTTTATTAGACAGATGTTGAAATGGCGCAGAAGATAAGTTTGTGCTTTGCGTTGATTGTATGTTATCTCTAGGGAGCTTTGAGCGTTTGTAATAAATGGTGTGATTAATCTAATTTCAGTAACTAAGCCTTGAAGATTTAGCAGTTAACACTAAAACCATAGAGAGATTTTAGTTACTGTATATCTAGACATTGGTCAATTGATATGCAACTGGAATTAAGGGGTTTCTGAATCATAGGTCGTCGAAAATGCTAAAAACAAAAATTTGCGCTTGTAGATTACAAACTTCGCTCTTTTTTATTTTAAGAAACATTTCTTTCATTTTCTTTTCTTTTTCAACTCTCGAAAATCAAAGATTATTGTACTATGCATATGGTTATGAACATCTTTTGTCAAAGAAAGCCGCTTCGGGTTTCTTTCTTTTGGTGTAATACATTTTCATTATCTGTACTCTACATCTGTGAAACCATTGCAGTCAGTTAGGAAAAGGAGTTCCTTTTTCTTTTAAATCAGTGGCCAGGAAAAAGGTACAATAATAACGGTACGTATGAAAATGATTGAACAAGTACACCATTCAAATTATATCTCTGTGATTCCCTGGAAATTGTATTCATTCATAGAACCTTTTGTTTCGAATTTTGTATTGTAAGCGTCGACATTTTGTATTAATCATTACTGAACCATGGACTACCCTTTTTCATTAATTTGGAGATAATTTTTAGGGGTTTGGCTGAAATTCAACAAAAGAACAAAAACACTCGCCATGGAAACAGAAACAGTCTCTGGAACACCTCTTTTTTACATATATTTTAGCAGCAAAAAACTTACGCGTGATTCCTGGAAAAAATTGACACACCAGGAAGAAAACCTACCTGTTACATTCGTTTACAGGTAAAATTTACCTAAGCAAGTACGCTGAAAGAAATCCGACAAATCTGTCCAGTTAAACGTTTTTTGAAGAAAGGTTTCGTGTCTCATGCGTTTTTACGAGTCTGTATTCAATTTGCGCTTTTTCATAACATAAAAGAAACAAACACAATGCATGCAATCAAATTATTTACTGATATTGGTCGGCACTCGAATTTGGTTGGGACTGTGCTTCTTAATTAATAAACTAGTTTTGACGATGAAGACTTTGGCATCGAACGACATTAAATGAGATTAAAACAAACGAAACTAAAACCCGACATTGGCTTGCCACAATGCTTTATTCAAAAGCTCGATAGGATAATAGGAATCTACAGGCTTAACAGATAATTGGAGATGAGTCAATCCCATAAACAGGTCTGAGCGAAGTTTGTATTGTTCTTGAACCACAAGTGACGCCAGTGAAATTAAGAAAAGAAGAATGGCATTGTTACAGGTTGGAGACAGAAAGTCAACTGCTATCCTTCTGAAACTCAGTCAACGTTTGATGAGAAAACATCATTCATTAAGTTATTTTCCAGTGCGCGTGCTAAGTACTTTGTGTACACCATGTGGCAAATTTTATTGTTCGGGGTTTCTTTTAATGAAAAAATTGTCTCTGGAACCCAACTGGTCGTTCTGGAAACTATTCGAAACCAAACACTAACGCAATGAGTAAACAGTTGCATTTTTTGCAAACATTTTTACTTTACTTTACTTTAGACTCATAATTTTTTTTTTCATCTTTTGTTTGATTCCAGACAGTTTCTTGTTGCTGAAAAAGACTAATAGCAAAAACCACAAAACTCCCACTTAGCAAATTAAACCAGGATTTAAAAGGTGACTGACAAATTGTCACATAAATTAAATAACAGAATAAAAATAAATCTGTTTCGTAATTAGAGGGAGACCGTAACTGTTCAAACTTTCACCATCGCCTCATTCAGAATCTGTTATTGCTCGGCCAAAATTTCACAATGAAACACAAAGAACTCGGCTAAATCCAGAACTTAAGCGACCATACATTTCTCTGGGTTTGTATTCATTGGCGTCAAAACAGCATTACACGCATGCGCCACTGCTCAAAGCTTCATAAATCATTCACACAAAAGTTCAAAGAAAGAAATATGTCAATTGGGTGTCAACACCTGTGGACATCAGGACTGTTGTTCACTGGAAAGTTCGTTCGAAGCCAAAATTTTCACACTTTGAGTTAAAGAGTTTGCAATTGTGTCTTGCGTTGGTAGTAACATCTGCTAATTGCTTTACTCCTCGTCCTGTTTTCACGTCCTAAAAACACCTTTTAGTAATTCTATTGAATTCGCTTTCACGGGTTTTTCCTTTATGCATTTGTTCGGTTTTTTTGGCCGACAGAAAAGGGATGTTAATGTTTTCTACCCCCTTCATCATATACAATAAAAATGGCTGCCTTAATTTCCTTCATGCGCAGAAAGAAAGATACCATAGATATTATTGGAATATGATGATTTCAGCTCTTTTTACGTAGATATTAACCCTCGAGCCCCAAATTCCCAAAAATAACTAACCAATTGGTGATAGAGTAGTTTGTGCCAGTTACGAAATAAGCCTGAACAAAACCCCCTCCCTGCTATTTTCTTTTTGACCAAAAAATTTATTTCCTTCATTTCCGGGAAAAATTCTCTTTCATGAAAAGCACAGGCTGAGTTTCGGCTATGTTTGAAGGTTGGTCTGCCTTTTAACTTATATTTTTCATGGACAACAACTTCTATACTGCTGTGTCTATTTATCTGTGTTTCCTCCGTGAAAATACAAAGTAACAATTATATGATTCTTTTTCTTGACGTTCTACGTGTTTTGAAGAACGAACAGTTACAAATACGATTGTTCAATTAAAACCAAACAAAAGATATATCAATACATCTATCGCGAAAAATGAAATATTTCCTAGGTTAATTTTATCATTTGTTCCATGTGCGAGAAAATACCTGTGAGTTGTAATCTGGCTGAAAAATATAGTCAAGTTTTGAAATTCGTCACTGACGTATCTTCACACTAACTTGAATAACGAATGTGAGTAATCTTTTACAGGATTTCCAATAAAAGTAAGACCGTTCGATTAGAAATCTTTATTTTTTTCCCTATTACAATTGCATGCACTAACCAAACAAGTCTCTAATAGATGAGTTTGTTGCAGGTAAAAATCAGTGAACTATTTTATCCCACCAAACACAGCGAATCTGAATGAACACAGATATGTAAGCTAGGAAATTTTTTTACTATCGTGAACAGTTATTTCGTGCAACTATGTGTAAACCAATAAAAGGGATGTTAATTTTCAACAGTCCAAGGTTTTATTATTGTTATTATCTTAACCTAAATATTTTGGCCTGCCAAAACACAGGTTGGTAGTGATCACATTTGTTTATCTCTTGAAGTCTGTCAAACCCCTTTTTAGTTGAATGCGATACTTAGTCTTGGAAAGGCATCCTTTCTAAATTAATAGAAGCTGGACTATCAAAAAAAAGAAAACAATTATAAACCTTGAAAAGCTAGTTGAGGGTTTCCTAATAAATATTGAACTGCTGCAAATTTGCTTTACTCGTTTAAAAAGCAATCGACATTCACTTCAAAAATCTGTTAATTGTACAATGTACGACCAGCGTCAGTTCTTTATAAGTTGAGAGAAGTACGTTCGCGGTCCGCAAGTGCTCGTCATATTCTCATTTAGAGTGAGTAAAGGCACCGGCAGTCCTAACTTGTCTCTAGTCAACTGAAAGTTCTCACAGGCAGTAAGTTCTTTTCCAAAATTCTCTTCTTTTATTAACTAGAATTCTTATTAATAAGAACGAAATTCCAAAAACACAAAACATCGTATGTTAGCTCAACCCTCACCCACTGAATATGTGAAGAAAATTATGAAGAGTTACAAACACGGTCATATTTATGCGTGTAATGTACCTCTGTTATTCTAACATTTCAAAAAACTTAAGTTAATAATTATACACTTCAGCAGAGAACTTATGTTTTCATTCACAAATACACTGAGCGATGGAGAGATTTCATAGAACTTTTAACTGGTTTGGAGCAACAAGTAAGCAGTATTTATCAGTATGATGCACAGAAGAACAGTTTAAAGAACAATTCTATGTTATGTTTGCGTAACAATCGAAAAATCTGCGGTTGCTTTTATGCCAGGTGAATCCTTAATTTGCTTTCTTACTCTTGAACCACGCCTGAGAGCTTAGTCTTCACTTAAACGAGCGATTAAGTTCTATATTCTCTTGACGAGATAGCAATTGGCGCAGAAGCGAACCTTTCTGGAAAGACTAGAGGTTGACAATTTTACTCTTTCATGTGGTGATTTGACGCTGCCAACCAAATATACATATCTTCTTTAAAAATAAAGTCAAAGAGCAGAGATGTGTACTTTTATATTTTCTAACTTCGCTGAATTTTGTACGTTCTCATAGTTGATTAAAATAATCGTGAATCATACACTTTTAGATTTGTGATTTCGTATTTGAACGGCCATTGCAACAGTTTCCATGACCAATTTTTTTGTTATGCAGGTCAAACAGACGTGGTAACTCAAAGCGATAACAACCCTTTCCGTTTCCTGACCGTGACCTCTAAAATTTACGATGAAACTAGACCAAAAGATATGAATTCATCGTTTGATGTTGTTGAAGGCAGGTATTAGAGCAAAGAAAATAAAATTCGAAGCAATCGTTAAATACTTACGCCACAGCTGAATTGGTTGAAATGAAATCGCTGTTATATACTTAATTATTTTCTTTTATCTCGTCACCTGAATAAATTTAAACAATGTTACACACCGAAAGCGTTATTCCTGTTTACAACGATCTGTACTTTAGCTACGATTTGTAATTCTCTCATTAAGTGTGAAATTTCCAACGCTGTAGAACAATCCTTAGACTTCCTTACCGGATTAGACGCGTTTCGATGAAATATTCTGAGGGAGCTTGGCATTGAATGTCACCGAAGCGCAGTACATGCATTTTTCTGGTGCTTGAAGTCTCAACCTTGGTTTACGAATGAATTGAATGGTCCGTGGGTGATAACACAGACTCTGACAAAAACACACAATCGGTTCTTGCTCAGGGTTGATATTATTAAAGATAGTCGATAATAGTGTTCTTTTTCGTAACCACATGTATATTCTAGTAGGATTTGTCCGCTTGGTTAAACCCGAAATGTGCTTCGAGCCGTGACGTCACCGAGAAAGACTCATCTCATCCCAGACCTAATGCGAACTCCCCTCCAGTATACAAGAGGGAATGCCAATTAAGGTATCAGGCTGTCACTTGCACACTCTTATTTGTAAAATTTATTTACCATACTACTTCATTATTCCCCGTATCAATCTATTAATTAAACAGTCAAAGTTTTATAAATCTCAAACGAGTTTTCGCTGTATGTCATTCAAGAACAACCTCGAACGGCGCCGAGGCCGACGCTCTCTAAAAGACCAGATGTAGTCGTTCAATATTGAAAAAAATGATTTCTTTTAAACGCCATATAACACTGAGCTGAAATGGCTTACTGCTGGATACAAGGTGTGAATTTCAGGGACGGCTAATGGTCGCCTAATGGTAAGGTGAAGTTCTCGCATTAAATGGAAGTTGTTTCCTGCCTACAGACGGGTCTCAAGTACATCGGAGGATGTATAGAGTTCCAAGGTATCACGGGATGTATTGAGTTTCAAGGTATCACAAGGAATGTTGAGTTCCATCACGTCTCCAGCTTTTGGCGCAGTATTTCTCTCGCCAGTGGCTGCTACTCTGGAACGTTCCTTACGGCTCTCTCTTTTGCATAGAATCCGATAAAATTCGCGTCGATAATTCCCCGAGAAGATCACGTAAAGAATTGGATTGATGGCACTATTATAGTAAGCAAACCATGGGAGTACAAATATAACTTGTATGGGAATCTCCAGGAAAAATTTAAAATTATAAGTTGCAATCATCTCTAGAACTTGATATGGAAGCCACGAGAGAGCAAAAACCACTACCACTGTTACTAACATAACAGTCGCCCGCCTGCTCGTTTTCTGAACTTTTTTATGCGCAATCGGATTCTGGTGTCCAGGTAATTTCCTCCTGCAAAGGCGTAATGCGGCCAGGAAGTAGGCTACAGTGATGGCAAACAGTGGAATGGCATAACCTATGACAAATAAAATAAGGGTGTAGATTTCTCTTGACAATGCTGACCAATCCTCTATACAGATCACAGTTTTTGTTTCTTCTTCTCGCTTTGCGGTCGCCACAAACATCACTGGAATCATAAAAGCCAATGCGCCAAGCCAAATTATGACGATCGCGAATCCCACAACCTTTGTTGTCATGATCGTCTCCAAAGGATATAAGATGGCAAAACTGCGATCTAAAGAAACCGCTACTAAACTGAACACTGAGGCGATCAAGGAACCAAATTGAGCTGAGTGGAAGAACTTGCATAACGCAGCGCCCATAAACGTGCCAAACCATCCACTCCAAATGAAAAAGAATTTGAGAATATAAGGCAAATCAATGCTCATGAGAAGATCTGCAACAGCCATGTTGGCGATGAGAATGTTTGTTGAGTTCTTCATGTGGTTTACTGTGTAAACGACGTAAATAACCAACGAGTTACCAATTGTTGCCAGTAAAAAAGCAGTAACAGCCATTACCGTGACTACGATTTGAATGTCGCGCGGGATCGGTAATCTTCCGGCGGGTGGCGCTTCGGTGGAATTGTACGTCATGTTGGAGGCACCAGCAGGTTCTATAGAACAAGGCAAAGATTTAACTTATGAAATAGGTTTCCGCAGTTGGAACGTCGAGTCAGAGTCTTTAGCCTTGACAAATTTTAGTCATTGAGCACTGATTTTCAGTCATGCAGTAGAAGATAATCTACAAGACCTCTTTAGCGCACGATTGGTGAGTTATAAACAGAACTCTGAGGTAAGGCTAAGTCTGAGAAAGAAATAATCCTTTAAGTGGCCTAATTGAGGTGATCCACTTGAAGTATAATTATCGTTATTTCTGTCGTTGATCATTCCGGTTAACTGACATATTGATGAGGCTCAGTTTCTTGAATATAAAAATACCTTGAAATACTCAGTCATTTCCTCCAAAATTTTCGGGAAAACATTTTGTCGAAAAAGTGATCACCGGCCAAGATGGGTCAAATAGCCTTAAGAACGTGGTTTCTTAAAAAAACAGAATTGTTGAATGAGATTGTAGTAGTGAGTCTTGCTGTGTAATGTGAGGAGGAAGGGCTCGTCATAACTCCGTACTCTTTTTCCGCCCCTGTTTATTTATAATGCGTATTTGGAGAATTGTTCGTATCTCTAATTGGTAATGAACCAAATATTAAGGTACGAGTTGAGGGAAGGATATTCTATAAATTCGAGAGTATGAAGTTAACCAATTTGCTCTCTTAAATAGACAATCAATCCTTGTCTACAGGGATCACTTAAATAGAAACTACAATACAGGCCCTGGTTGTTTGAAGGTTGGATAACGGCATCCATTGGATAAATCTCTATACGGTGGATAACGCTATATGTTTTGCTATCACTTATCCGCGGGATAGCAACTTCTCCATTGGATGGCGTTATACGCCCTTTATACAACTGGCCCCTTAACTTTTGTTTGTTTCTCATATGCTCTACTGAAACGCCGTCTCAGGATCAGAGCTCAAGGTCCTCTCATTTGGACAGGTTAATTATTCTAGTATCAGAATTATCATTAAGCCAAACACTTGTCGTATGATCGACACACTCTTTTTCACTGAACTAGTTTAAATGTATTCTTGAGAATTTGCATAGTCATCGGGAGTTAATCTTTACTCGCAACTTTAGACGGTTTAAGTTTGACGGAGGGAAAGCACCCTACCTGTATTGTTCATTAGGTCTTTCATTTTCGGCTGACAGATTCAAGCGCTTGTATTTCCTTATTAGGTCTCTTGATAAAGAGTGAATGAAAAACTAATTAGTTCACCTTTTGCGGAGATATATAAATTTTCAAAACCACCCGAAAGGCTTTTTATTACGGCTAAGTTTAATGGCCTACTTGTGGTAGTTCTAATCATACTGAATGGCACCCCACTTTTTACTGTTGCCATCCATGTTGTTCTTCATTTGTCGTTGTCATTTTCATTCTCAGATTCTGCTCTCCTTGAGCTGAATACCTGCTCGCTTAATCAGCAGGTGACGAGAATAATTAGTGAAGCAAAATGCACCTTCTCGGGCATAAAGATGAAGGTTTAGCAATTCAATTTTTTGTAACATTTAAAAAAGGTAAACTTCTGGGAGACTTGTTCACACGAGCACAAATACAGACAATTTGAAAATCATGGTCCACTTACTTCTTCATCCGCTTTGCTCCCCAAACTTAGTTTATGAATGTAGAAAGAAAGGTGCAATTTTTCGTTATTTCCAATTTGCATCGAGGTCTTTTTCCTCAAACCTTTTCCTTGATGACACTCGATTAATGCGTTATAAAAATTATCTTGGGTGGAAATCTTTCCGTGTCTTTAATTTATGCTAATATTTAATCAAACATCTTTCCAAATTTCGCCCTTTGAATAGAAAAGGGAAATGAAACACACTCGCACACACACTTGTAACGTTTTTTTTCTTTTTCTACGAATTTAGTAACACTCCAAATCTTTTTGTTAGCTGTAAAGCAGAAAATTCACACCCCTAAAAACGAGATTGCTTCTAAGTGCCAACCCATGTAAATAGATGTCAAGGAACTTGAATCAAACTCAACTGCATTTTCAGAAGGGGAACAATCTTTACCTGTCAGTCAGTGAAACTCCTTTGATAACCATCAGTTCGATTTCTCATCCTCATACATGGTTGTTGCTCTCAAATTTACCTTTGATTTCCTCTTTCTAAAACCCGCATATAGAAGTTTGGGATACTGTAGGTAACAGAATAGCAACCAGTCTCATTTGCGGGTAAATATATAAAAAAGTCGTTCAATTTGATGTCTTCACCGGCGTAATGAGTTTCGCCGTCGTATATGAATTTGGGCCCGAAATTTACCAAAGGAAGTTGGTTAAAGCAGTTTTTACAGATGTTAAAGAAATAAATTTTTATGCACCTTCAGATTGTTAAAGTATTTCTTGAGGTGTGCTCTTCAGTCCTTGAGAGGAAAGCAATGCCAAAAGCTTCTTTATGTGGCTTCTCTACCACAGTTTCACTTAAAGCGGTGATGATCGGAAAACCGTGGTATAGCATCCTTAAAGTTATGCAGAGAATCAGATGCTTAACTATTTCATTCAAGTTATGATAATCTTTAAAGCTGTCACTGTCATGGAAATCGTCCCAGTATATAGTTAATTGAAAGAAGTTTTAATTAGTCGAAAGTGTTTAATTGCAAAACCGACAATGATGGAACGCCATTACTGCTCTGTACTACTTGATTACATTGTCTTATGAATGTTTTTAAGAATATTTGATAGTTTTATCGTTTGTGGTCATCTTTTTATTACACTCGGTGGTATTCCATTATATTGGGTGCTCGCGGTATTAGATACGGCGTGAGCTTTTACTTTTTACAAGCAGTCTATGCGGTGGGTTTTTCATCATTCTCGTAGCTCATATTTTCATACTTATGTGGTGATGAATTCTTTATGTTAAATGACACCCTCATCTACTAAACTCACTCAGGCTCCATGATTCTGGTAATCTTTACTTTTTTTCATGCTTTCAGCTCAAATATGGCACTCAAATGTGGGAAATATTGAGCATTCACGTGCCAAAAACCTTTTTTTTTTAATAATAGTTATACCTGAAAGTAGGAGTACATCAATCCATGTAAATTGTATGTGAGCTTTCTATGTCTGTCACCTTTGATGAAGAATATTACAAGCCTTTTAAAACCACAGTTTAATGAAGAAGGTTCCAATAGCAGGACCTTCGTAGGTACTGTTTATACAAAGTTTTTTAAATACATGAGAGAAGCTGGAAATAAGTCAGTATAAGCTTTATTGTATGATGATATTACTTAAAGAGTAAGAACATTACGCAAATGGCACTATTTTCCATATTCTTTATTGCATACACTGTTGCTTAGTAACCTAATACAGCCTGAGGATGAGAATTTATAATTTCGTGAAAACCTCGGAGAAAGTCTGTTTTGATTTGATGTTGTAGGATACTAGCAAGGAATCATTAAGTTTGGACTACGGTTTAGCCAGATGGGCGTCCAGGCGTTTTATGGATGCTCACTTTTTGGAAAAAAAACCACTTCGTTTATCTATTATTTGTAATTATTATTTGCCTTCTTTAAAATTATTGGATGCCCAGTTCGTAAATCCTGGCCAAAAATTTGGTTTGATATTTGTACATCTCTTTAATTTACTGTTTGTTGCTCTGTGGTAGTGTACGTGTTTAGCTGCAGTATAAACATGCCGATGTCTATGTGATTAATTTAGTAAATCTGCATGAGTAAGTTCAAGTAATATGAAAATGATTAAAAAGAAAAGTATGCAACTTGGAGATTGACAGCTGTCATACATTATGTGCCAAAGCGGTAATATGATACATGTAAGTATAACTTAAGCGCGCTCGATATAGCTTGTATCAAACCTTCCTTCACCTGAGTTAAGCACCATCTTTTGTAACGAGCTGCGAACGATCCGAATAAAACGTTTGTGTCTATATTTCTGTCCATTTCTGGCATCTGGATAGGGTCCTATTCAATTTATAAACATACCGAGTATGTTTGATAGAGCCATAGTTGGTCTCCAAAAAGTCACGGACAGTCGGCCATAGTGAGCTTTTCATCATAACGGATCTATTGTGGAGATAATCTGCGGATGTGTTGTTTTAAGCATTATTCTCGAAGCATCCTTTAGAATCGCTCTTTACGCCCGCCGCACAGACCATTAACGATGGCTGACACCAGAGAAAACTCTCTTTTATTGATCAGCCTGCTTCGCAATCACAACAGGTACTCGCAAGCAACTGATAAAGGAATCCTGAAATGTTTCGAAACTCGCTTTCATGCAGCACCAGACTTCATGTGATCTTTATCATAACTTCATAACTTCATAACTTCATAACTTAGAGTACCACATTAACTGACTACGAAAACGTGAGACTGTGAATAGATCGTTAGTTTGAATTATTTTACTAAAATGCCTTTGACAATTCCTGACACGTACTGAGTAGTTTTCAAGGAAAATGGCTCTTGTTTTGAGCCCGCAAATGAAATATAAAAATTGAATAAATTAAGAAGTTATTGTAGTGTCATTTTCAGTCATTGTTATCTTAAAGTTTTGCAAGGCTTTGAGAGGTGACCTGCGGTGGCTTCGGTAGACCTCACCCGTATGGCCGTGTACTGTGCCCTGTGTTCTGAACTGACCACAAGGTCTGAATTTGCAGGATTTTCTTTTTACTAATTATCCATTACTCATTTCCTTTTGATCTGATGAAATCGTTTTATTCCAGCACTCCTTAATTAATATAAAGCGGAGAGGGTCACCTGTCATAACTTTGTGGTCTTCGAAAGATTCATTACTAGAGTTTCGAGAAAATAACCAGATAGGGAAAGAACCTGCGTGGCATAACATGGGCTTGACGATTAAGTTACCAAAAAGCAAATTTTAACCACGTTTGAATAGTCTTAAAAGTTCGCTCCTTTTGACATTCGCAATAATTGAATGGTAAGTGATAAAGGTCACATACAGCAGTAAAGCACATAGACACGTAACTAACGGGCAGATGTACGTGAGATTGCAAAGAACTCTTTATTAAGTTCAAAAGAACACACGTTATTTGCCTTATCGTGGAAATATACTAGTGTTGACAATGCAAATTTAGTGTCATGGAATTTTCACTTATTTACAGTTAAAATGAAATGTTTCTAAGATCATAATAAAAGTACAAAGGTGGTATGGTCGTTTCCTTGTGCATTAACTACAAGTCTTCCTCGGGCAGATTTTCGTCATCGTTTTCATTTTATTCGCTTTCTTCGTAGTAAACTGTTTCGAAGTCCAAACTGTTTGAAATATTTTTAATCTACAGGAAATTTTTTGTCCTTACTGCTATTGTAATTAAATCATTATATTTCCATTTGATGCTCACATAAGTCTCCTAATTTCTCATAAGAACCATTGATGGTTGATGAATACAGGTGCAACAAGCACAAGTCCTCGGGAGGGGGCGTTTACTTCCTTGTAAAAAGCTGAAGGGGATGTGGATGTGGTCACATTTTAACGACTGGATTGTCTATAACGGGGTTGCACTTTAGTGGGGTCGTACATTTTTGGATTTTGGGGTAAGAAAATTCTGGTAAGTTAATATTTAAAACGGGAACATTCGCGGTTAAAAAGTTGTTACCGTGTGACCAAAAATGACTAAGACGGATATTATAATTGGCTAAACAATCGACTATGGTGGGTTAGGGGTTCTAAGAGAACAGAGGTACATATCCAGCAAAAATTGACCTAAATACTCCCCACGGCACGAGTCTTACCTACGAAACAATTTAACGTTGAAGTAGCGTTTGAGTTGACCATTACCCGTTGGCAATTGAGGCAGTAACAACAAATGATTTCAGTATACGTCGGCCGACGTCGGCCATACTCGTAGTAGTACCTCTGGTACGATATTATGGTAAGGTAAAGTACTGCAAAACATCTGTCAGATCCAGTTACCACAGTAATATCACAGCGATATATCACTGCTGTTTTCTATAACTAAGACGGGTTATAGTTGAAAGAAACCGTGCCACTCTCAACGCAATAAATTACAGGGTGAAAATATCAGAACAATGGTAAAATTAAAACTAATAAAAAGTTGGCGCAAAACGTGCTCTTTGAATATATCAAGTTGCGCTGATTCAGTCAAAGAAATCTGAAAAGAAGAAGAAAAGGAACGAAACCCAACAGGAAAATGAAAGCAGTCAGAAAGAGGTCAGAGTTTTTTTTGATTGGAAATTCTTCCTGAAAATTACATCAAGCACAAAGCTTGCTAAAAGAAAGGTGAAGCAAAAACGAACATAACGGCTGACAAATGTTTGAGTAATTTTGGTGCCTTTTCTTCCCCAGTTCAGGAGAACTTTTTGCAAAGGCCTGATATTTAAGTAGTTTGGACTGGACTCACGACGTCTCTGGACTTCCTCTTCTATGGTCAGCTTCTTCTCTCAACTTCTGAAGAGGAATACTGACTGCCAATGAGCTAGCTCTTGATAAGCGTGTCGTGCGAGTTGCGCTGCGGCTGTATACAATAGTCTTCCTGTAACGCTCCTTTCGGCTTGGTCCCCTGCAGAGGATTCGATAAAATTCGTGACGGTAATTCTCCGAGAAGATCACATATATAATTGGATTAACGGCACTGTTACAGTAACCAAACCACGGAATGACAAACCAAACCGCCATTGGGACTGTAAAGTTGGTTAATATTTCCGGATTGATATATCTTATGATTTCCAAGGCTTGAAATGGAAACCAAGAAAGAGCAAAAACGATAACCACTGTTATCAACATAACTGTGGCGCGTCTGCTGGACGCTTGAGCTTTCTTGTGCGACATTAACGTGCGATGACCTGGGAGTTTCCTGCTCCAAAGGCGCATCCCCGCTAAGAAGTAGACTACCGCAATGATCAAAATTGGAATGATGTAGGAAGTTGTGAATAGAAACCATGCGTAGGTTTTATGTGATATGGGCTGCCAATTCTCGTCGCAAATCATATTTCCCGTTCCTTCATCTTTGGTGTTCTTGACCACTAGCATAATCGGAATGGACAAGGCCAGTGCGCCGAGCCAAATCGCGGCGATTGCAAAACGCACAACATTCCTGGTCATTATGGTTCTCATTGGAAATAAAATACCAAAACTGCGATCTAAAGAAATCGCCACCAAACTAAACACTGAAGCAGCCAAGGAACCAACTTGAGCTGAGTGAAAGAACTTGCACAAGGCGGTGCCCATAAATGTACCAAACCAACCATTCCACACGTACACCCATTTGAGTATATAAGGAATGTCAATGGTCATGAGAAGATCTGCAACAGCCATATTGGCAATGAGAGTGTTTGTTGAGCTCTTCATCTGGTTGACTGTACATACGATGTAGATCACCAGCGAGTTACCAATTCCTGCCAGGATAAAAGTTGTGACTGCGACCACTGTGACTCCAACCTGAATGTCTCGCGGGACTACGACTCCCTCACCAGGTGGCGAGATGGTGTCATTTTGTGTCATGTTAGAAGCCATGGAAAATTCTGCGAAATAAAAGAAAAAGTGAGAAATATGAAACAAAAACCGTTTCAGTTAAATTGAAAACTTTTTCATCCTTTTCGTAAATAAAGATTACTTTACATAAATTTCCGTAAATAGCATTCCTGTGTATCATATTTCATTCTCGTGAAACTCACCGCTCCAGGCCGGTACATAAATTCCATAAACTAGCACCACAAGTTCCTATTGAGCAAAAGATTTTGAACACCTCTATTGACTACGCTGAAATTTGATGTGACATTTTACACCAAGTGGTCAGATGAACTTAGCTTCACAGAAACTAGAATAGTATTCGGGTTCTACACTGTGTTAGAAAAAACTCTTACCACGCAGTTGAGAAATCAAAATTGTAATGATTTCTTTTTAATTTACAGCGAAAACTTGCGGGGAAAAATGGGCAAGAAGCCTCGAGAAGAAAACATACCTGTTTCGTTTTTCAGTTCCACCATCAATAGCTGATTAATTGAAGCACAAGTTTTCACCAACCAAGCACCTTGCCTTCGAAAGAGCAAAATTAAATTGAGTTTACTTCTTATACCATTCATTTACATAATAATAAGTTTTCTCCACGGGATGGTCTAGACTTCGACATAAGCAATCAACCCTTTGACTGCTCAAAATTCTCTGTTTCAATAACAAAGTTGTTATCTCTATGATTCCATTGAGATGTAAATGGTAATAGTAAAATGAAAAATGAGTTTCACACTTTCAGAGTCAATCAGCAGCGCCGGTGAAATATTATTTGACGCTGGAAAACGAACTCAGTGTAACTAATTTAAATCATGGAAGAAGAATCGCCAACTGATGACATGAACCACGATGATCGTGCTCTGAATTGTGGGTCGTAACATTTAATTACAGAGCATTCAATGAGCCGGTCGTTTTTTGTCGGTGAGAAAGCTCTATTTTTGTATGTTTTTCTTTCTCGATATCGGTCTTAATATTGACACTGAATAATTAAACAAAAAAGCTCGAGGAAAGTTTTTTGGCCTTATTTGAACTTGACCATGAATCAAGTTCAACAAGTAATGATACTTCCTGGTTAAAGAAAAACAACATTTAATCTTATTATTTTGCCTTGATGCGCACAAACCAGGTAACTATCTCGGTTATGAAAACAGCTGCAGTTTTGAATAAAATAATGTTAAATTCCTGAATAAAACGCACCAAAAAAAGGAAATTTGTGCTTTTAATTTTACCTTATCAATCCAGTTTTTAATTCCAGGTTGTATTAAGTGCTCTTCGTTAATTCGTTTCATACCCCCTGAGAAACTCACAACGTCTAAGCGGCGTAATTTTATTTCTTTCGGATAATAAATGCCGAAGAATAATTCTCATTCCAGAATGTTCTTTGCCATAGATTATAATTCGGTAGCAGAATCGGACTCAAAGTATAATCCAAATGCTTTTCAGAAAAAAAAGGGAAAAATACTGTGTGGGAATATTTATTTGTATCGATATTTTTTTAAAGACGAACTTCAATTTAAACATGGTTTATCGAAACTTAAGACTCTTAAAAGTTGTATAACAGCAATACAAAAATAACGCAAACAAGCCTCTCCAGAGTAATTTTTTCCTCAGATTGTGTGCCTCAAAAAACGACGAGTTGTTCAATAAAAGTGGAAAACAAGGCTGAGACAACATCTGATAAGGTGAATTTCTTGATTTATTACATCTATTTTGAAAGTACTTGTGATGCATACAATCTGATTAGCTCTCAGCAGTGTGATTTATTTACGAATTGTATTTTTTTGCTCTAACTTGCATCTTTTTCCAGCCAATAAGAAAGCAACACTAAAATAAAACCGCCAATCAGATTTCAAGGCTTATTTAAAGTAAGCAATCAAATTGCGAATTTTTCAACTTTTTTCCTCGGCTAAGTGTTAGATCAATAAAATATTTGTTCTGACTAAAATCCTTTATTTGGCATATTAAATTTGCGATTTCAAAATGGATGAGTGCGATTTTCATCTGAAATCCTACTTGTTATTTCAGTGCATATTGCACTCCGCTCATTTCAATTAAATTTATAAATCAACCAGTTTAGAGAATCATCAAAACGTTTTTAAATAAATACCGACGAAAAATATTTCCCAAAATCCTTGTTGATGGTAGTGTAACATATTAAATGAAAGCGGTCCTTTTTTATGCCGTTTCGTCGGCCTAAAGTAATATTTAATGATTCGAAAGCTATTGATTATGACCGACGCGGTAAACTGAGAACTTCATAATCAACCATTAAATCAGAGATTTCCAGTAGTGAAGTATAAAGGTACGCTAAACTGATTAAAACAAATTAGAGAGGACGGATGAAACATGAGTGGGGGGAGTGGGGAAAATCTTTGGCTTATATGTGGTTGAGACGAAAACGGATCATTTTCATTCACCTCTCGGCTCTCTGCTTAATTGATTCAATCTAACGGATGGCTGATGCGAGAAATGTCGGCTTCAAGAACTCTCTTCGGAGGCCAATTTACAGTATCAGCTTCGTTGATTAAACAAAATAATCTTGCATGATACCGCGACGCAGCGCTCAAGTTTCCTTGGAAACCTACCCCATTTATTTCTTGGTCTTTACCTCACGCTGAGAGTCCAAACCTCCATAGGCTCTAACGGTGGTAAGGTCTTGATTACTTCTAAATTCACATGGGTAACATCACACAAAATATGTGGCGGTATGAAGAGGCAATACGTATTTTGATTAATGGTACGTAATTTACATTATATACTGACATGCCAATAGAGACCTAATGAATCAAAGGTTTTTCTTTTTGTTCGACAAACGTTTTGCGTCAATATAATCTATCGAACATGCCTTTGAATTTTTAAATTTCTCTTTCACCAAGTTTGTTTTTTCCTCGCTAAAGCCGGTCAGAGAGTAGCATTTGTTTTTTCTCTCAAACTTCTTCCACTTGAGGTACTACAATAGTGAAACTAATCATTTTCAGATAGAGTGTTTAGTCAGTAACACTGGTAGACGAATTTAAAAGCCTTTTCTCTCTCTTTGTTTCAAGTTTTCGATGTGTTATCAGCAAATAGAGCAGCAAATCAAGAGATAAAAAGAAAATTGCTCCGTTTCCATGGTAGAAGACGATAATTGGAATCGCATCATTGATAACAAGCTGAGACCTTATAGATTCTTGATTAGAGTAGTCAATTTTTTCGCAGTAATTCGGCTTATATGTATGCAGGAACATTCTGGTAATCTTAGCACACCGTATGAATAAAGATAGAAAGTTCTGGCCTCGATGCTTTGTGAGAATACATGACGAATTAAAATGCTTGAGACAAGACGACATCAATTATTCAAACAACGCAACTAAGTAGACACCAATAGAAGTATCATCCTTTCAGGGAGGAAACTTTTCTCAGATGTAATTACTAATTTGTTTTAATGTTTGATAAAGTATTGAAGCAGAAAAATGATTTATGTTCAAATAAGCATAACATTTTCTTCAGAAAAAGCTTGTTTGGAAGTACTGAGTGATCAATTTAAAGCAAACAGTTAAAAATTGGTTTCTTTTCATAGCATTGATCGTGAGGTGTGATGTACATGAGGAACTTACACTAACGTAATGTTTTAGCAAAGATTAAAATCGTTGTAATGTAACTTTCCCAAAGAGAGGGATTTAATGGAAAATTGGGCGTCAATCGCCGACGCAATTTATCAGGAACAGCCGCGTGTTTACTCTAAAAGCTTATATCCCATAATATCTTCTGGAATTTGAAAAGAGAAAAGAGCCCCTCTGTGGTCTACTAAAATCCAACAAGTGATGGGCTAATCGTTTACCGCCTGGGCTAAGAGCAAGAATAAAATTTTGAAAAGTTAAAGTCGCCCGTAAGCTTTTTTAAAAAAAGCTTCTTCTGATGAGATGTTATTTTACAATGGAATTGATTTTGATATAGTAATGACAAAATTTACTCATATGATCTAAATTCCCATATCACTCGTGAAATGTGGCAAACCAGATAAACAGACGCTGTAGACAAACTGCTAATTTAATTCAAACATTCATTCACGAATTTTCTTCACCGAAAAGGATAGAATAAGATACTAAATTAGATACTTACTTAAAATATGAATATCTTGGATTTCCAGAAGTATATCGAACCTTGCATTCTTCAGAGAACCCTTTTTGACGTTATTTGAGAGGAGCGAAATCGGCACGCTGCTGTTTAGAAATTAGCGTCCATAAAAGGTGAATTTCTTTTGCAGAATTAAAAAAAAAACATTGCAACAGTCACTCAAACATCACTTTCAAAGTTTTTGGAACGCATCAACCATTTCTCTCGCTCCTCGTGATCTTTAAATATATTTTCAGGTCCCATTGTTTGATTGGTTACGAAAAAAATATTAAACCATTTTCAAAAAGTTAATTCTCACCTTGAGTAAGCCTTGCCATGTCTATAACGTGGAACATTGCAATAAGTATCTTCAGTGAAGACTTACACTGTTCAAGTTAAGAAAATTACTTTTTCAATTTAGTAGTCCCACAATAATCTTCATTTTTCGTGCGAAAATTGACTTCGGTAAGAAACAGTAATGTTTGATGAAAATGAGGACGCATGCAGGATCACTGTGTCAGTCCAGCCACAACGACAACGATTTTTAGGTAAGTTAAGAATTTGTATGTCTATAAGCTTTTAACAAAGTGTGTTTGGGTTAAAAGCACTAATTTTAGACTGTGCGGTGTTTTAAAAGAATAATAACCGAATTCAGTCGGCCCGAATGTTCCATAATTAATAAAGATATAATTATTGACAAATAAGTTTCAAAACACTGACAAGGATGCGAACCTTATCTTGTCAACCAAATCTTAAATCAGAAGTAAGCAGCCAAAAGAGGAATTTTAAAAATATATTTCACCTACTTTTGAAGCTGAGCTAGCTTATCACACTAGACACTCGACACTTCTACTCCCGCTCCTATACTTTCCCTCCCCCTCCCCCCCATCGTGATTGAACCTTTCAGCACCTGCACGAAAGATCAAGGCTCGAGTCCGTCAACTAAGTAATTTCGCCGATAGGCGCTAGCGACAATAAATGATCTTTGTCTGTAAAACATTCCTTTTCGAAAAGCAGGTGATTGAGAGCAAGAGCTTTTGCCTAAGGATAAACAAAGCTACTCTTGCAGAAAAAATTACCCTCCTGGATGATATTTTACGCTTCTCATAACTTCAAATTTTTTAATCCTTCCGTGGCGTAAAGCTTTTCGTTCTTAAAAGCGTTCATCACAGAATTGACAGGTTTCACACAGGGGGCGTTATTCACTTGTGCGTCCGTTTACACTTGTCACCACGTTTGGTTTTTTTTTGTGTGTGCGTGCGAGGGTTAAGTCAGTAAGAGAGGAATAATAGCTTAATAAAGAAACCCTTACAAGTTCTAACTTTCCATTCTTTGCAATGATCAAGTTTTCAAACAATTGAGAGACTTTTATTCAGACACATCGTCTGTCAGCGTAAATGATTTTGAGAAATATAAAATGATTAACATTAACT